CACCCCCGGCCCACCCTGTCTTCAGCCCGCCCCTCCTGTCTCCAGCCCGCCAACGTGCTCTTGGACACCAACTGCTCTGTGAAGCTCTGTGACTTCGGCCTGGCCCGCTCCCTGAGCAGCCTGGCTGAGGGGCCCGAGGGCCAGGCCCTGACGGAGTATGTGGCCACACGCTGGTACCGGGCCCCTGAGGTGCTGCTCTCCTCGCGCTGGTAATGGCGAGTCGTCCCCACCCACCCACCTTCTCCCGGCAGGCCCCAGGCCTCCCCGCGCCTCAGGCTGCGTGGCCCTGCATGAGTCCCCACCCCCTCGCCCCAGGTACACCCCGGGGGTGGACATGTGGAGCCTGGGCTGTGTGCTGGGAGAGCTGCTCCGAGGGAGGCCCCTGTTCCCGGGCACGTCCACACTCCACCAGCTGGAGCTGATCCTGGAGGTCATCCCGCCCCCGGCCAAGGAGGGTGAGCCGTCTGCTGGGCCCCGGGTCCCAAAGTCAGGGGAGGCAGCTAAGAGAAGGCATGGGCTCGAGGCCCAGGAAGTCCAGCAGAGGCCAGCCTGCAGCTGGAGCAGGGCTGGAGAGGTGCAGCCGCACAGAGGCTGCGGGGAGGCGGGCCTGGGCCCAGCACCATGAAGCTACGCTGTGGCTGTAAGGGGCCAGCAGATTGCGGTGAGGTCCCCAGGCTGCTGAGGGCTGGCAGGTGCAAGGACCGCTGCTGTGTAGGGAGCTGGGGTGTGCAGAGCTGGCAGAGGGGCTGGGGCTGAGGCACGGCAAGGCGGCGTGGTGGGGCTGTGGGCATCATTCACCTTGGGGGGCAGGGCAGGAGGAAGACTGGCAGGATTGGATGGGTGCGGACCAAGGGCGTGTCCATGCGTGGGCTCACTGGGTGCAGGGTGTAAGTGCACAGAAGCTTCCCGTGTGGGCGTGTATGCACCCTGGGTGGGAACCCTGCAGAGGCTGCACTCGGGACCAGCACCCAGGCACGCCCCTTTCTGCCACGCATCCCGCAGACCTCCGGACTCTGGGCTCAGGCTACAGTGCCTCGGTTCTGCAGCGCTTGGGGTCCCGGTGAGTGCACCTCTCTGCGGTCAGAGAGGCTGACTGCTGGCAAGGACTGGCCACCCCAGACTCCACTGGGAGGGGTTCTTTCATATCCACTGCCCCACGGCCTACCCAGGAAGGTCCCCAGGAGGCCTGTGCCCCTGCCTGGGTGTGGAGGGTGGTGCAGGGGAACTGAGTCCCCCACTGTCCTTGACTGCCCTCAGAATGGTCACTTAGAGAAATGAAACCAGCGCAGGCCCAGCCCCACCCCAGGGGGCAGGGGAGACCGGCAGGTGGGGAGGTGTCTCCTGACGCTCCCTGTAGACTAGAAATGGGGGAGTCCACTGACACAGGAAAGCCTGAGCCTTGGGCCACAGACATCGGGGAAAAGGCCGCAGGGTCGCCACCTGGGAGAGGAGACAACCACATCTGCCTGCAGGCCACGGCGGACACTGGACGACCTCCTGCCCCCAGACACCCCTCCAGAGGCTCTGGACCTCCTAAGCCGTCTCCTGGTGTTCACCCCCGCCCAGCGGCTGAGTGCCGCCCAAGCCCTGCAGCACCCTTATGTGCGGAGGTGGGACCTGGAAATGCTGGCTGGGGTGACAGCCTGGGCTTGGCCACAGCCGGGACCCACTGTTCGGCCCCTGCCTCTCCTGCCGCCTGCAGATTCCACTGCCCTGACCATGAGTGGACTCGGGAGGCACGTGCGCCACTCCGGGTGCCTGATGGAGCCCAGCTCTCCGGCGCAGAGTACCGCAGCATGGTCTACCAGGTGCCCCGCCCTGCTCATTCCCCACCCTGGGTGCTCTCCAGGCCGCCTCTACCTCAACCACTCCAGCAGCCCCCAGGCCACACAGGGCACCTGAGTCTTCCTTCCCTCCTGCAGATGATCCTGGAGCGCAGCAGCAACAGCCGTGCCCCACCAGCAGAGGAAGGCCTGGGGGACGCCCTGCTGGGGACAGAGCCCAAGGTGGCCAGGTCTCAGGAGCGCCTGCTCAAGCCCAGAGCTGCTTCCAGCTCCCCTGGGACACCTGTGCAGAACCCCAAATTCCGATCTTGCAGTAGCCCCAGCCAAGACCTGGGGCCTGGTGTGTGATCTCCATCCACCACCCACACCGCCCAGGCCGGGCCCCTTCTGTGTGGGCCCCTCGCTGGACACTAGCTCTGGGGGTTAACTTCCCCTCTCCCTCCAGACGCCCCCGCAGCCAGGGACATGCCTGGGGAGAACTGGGCTCCCCTGCAACCTCCTCCGCACGCAGGCAGGGGGAAAAGGCCTTCTGCGACAACGGTGGAGTTCCCCTGGGGACCCTCCTGGGTGAGTCACGGTGCTGTGGGCATGGAAGGAATGCTTGCTCTGCCCGTCAGTGACCCTGCGACCACCCCTTCCCAGGTGAAGGCAAATCTGAGAGGGGCGGTGGCCTCTTTGACCTCGCAGGCTGCGGCCCAGGTGACCAACCAAGCCCTGGTCCGCAGTGACCCGCCCAGGGGCGATGGGGTAAGGACAGCCAGCGCCACGGCTCCAGTGCGGCCCGGGTTCAGCGTCCTTGCTGTCCCACCCTATAGGAACCACTCGGGGCCCTCCCTTTTGCCCCTCCCACCCGCCTGCCTATTACGGTGACCTTTGGCCCCGCAGGTTCCTCCGCCACCGCTTCCCCGAGAGGTCTCGGCGTTGCCCCGGCCGGGCCGAAGGATGTTTGGTCCCTCCGCCTTGCAGGGGGCACAGGGGGCAGCCAGGGCCGCGCTCGGGGGCTACTCCCAAGCCTACGGTACCGTCTGCCACTCAGCACTGGGTCACCTGCCCCTGTTCCCCGGACCCCGCGCATGAGCCCCAGCCCTAGTCCGGCTCAGGAGCGGCAACCCGACGTCCCTTCTCCAGTTCCTCAGGCGCTCCCCCCAGCCCCCGCCCCTTTGTCTCATTCGGCTTCCGGGGAGCTTGCCTGGGTCTCTTCAGCAGAAGTCCTAGCCTAGTGGTGGCACCATCAACAAAGCTGTCTGTGCCAGCAGAGATGCTCCGCTGTCTACTTGCTCCTGAGGGCCCATCTTCTGGGGCCCCTGACATCCCGCCTTGTCTGGGCACCCTCTGTCTGGGACAAGAGCCCCTTGGACTGCTGGGTTCCCACATGGCTGACTGCAGTTCTAGTCCTGGACCTGGCAGTTTGCCCCCTCTCTTTCCTTGTCTCTCATTCTCTGGTCAAATTAAGATAATAATATATAAAATAACTCTTAACAAAACAAAAGCGATTGGCCAAAGAGGAGCTGGCAGGGGGCAGAGGGCCGGGCTGGGCACACCGGGAGGGGCTCCAAGGAGACCACCCAGCAGGACAAACAGGGCAGAGGCCAGGCAACTTCCAGGCTTGGCACGGGGCCACGTGTGGCAGGAGGGACTGAGGCAGACCAGGGGCCCTGGGAGAGTGCTGTGGAGCATGCCCACCCGTGAGGCTCAGCAGAAATTGCCTGGCTGCGAAAGGTGCTGCAGTGCCCCCGGGGAGCAGTGCTGGTGAGTGCGGGGAGACGCGGGCACCTGTCTGGGGCATGCTGGACACTGCGCGCTTGCGCCTTCCTGTTAACACCGGGGCCTGGCGCAGGCGGAGCAGGCAGCACTCTCCCTTAGCGGGACCTCTCTCCCAGAGTGGGGGCACCAGGCTGCTCCCACATGGAGGGAGGGAGGGGCCCTGGCCACAGTCCAGGACCCACCTCCCTTCTCCAGGGCCAGGGTCAGAACTGCCTGGGTAATGGCTGGTTCTCAAAATCTTTCTGGGGTCTGTGTGGCACTTGCGCCCTCCTGCCTCAGCCTCCTGAGCAGCTGGGCTCGCAGGCACAAGCCACCCTGCCTGGCTTCTCTTGGGATTTCTTATCTGTAAAAAAAAAAAAGAAAAAAAAAATTCGAACCACAATTTGAGAGGAAATAATGGGGCCAGCAGGTGGTGTGGTGGTTAAAGGCACTGGATTCCCACATGGCCGACCGTGGTTCAAATCCTGGACCTGGCAGCTTCCTTTCACACTTTCCCTTTCTCCCTCTCTTAATGGTCAAATGAAGAATACCAACAAACGGAAATAAATTAGTAAATCTTAAAAACAAAAACAGAATACAGAAATACTAACCTCACAATTCTTCCACCTAACGTGGGGGCTTTCTAGTCCCGGGGGACAAGATGCGTCCTCCCAATCAGTTCGGGTTACTCTAGGATGCCGTCAGGAGGCGTGGAGGTTATGGTGGCTGGATCCCACATGGCCGACTACGTGGTCTGAGTCCCGGACCCGAAAGCTTGAAAATCACTCTAGACGTGCATGCATGGGTGCCCAGAAGTCCTGAGAATGGCAAAAGGACTATGGCACGGCCACTCTAGTGACTGCGTGTGTACAGTGCTGGGTGGGTTCTGGGCTGCCGACCAAGAGGAAGGACGGACCTGCAGACAGGTGGAGGCCAGGCCTGCAGGCCCTTCAGGGTGGGGGCTGGAGTCAGGCAGCCCTGCGCCTACACACACACACACACACACACACACACGCGTGCGCGCGTCTCCGGGGCACCTGAGCAGGGACGCTCCACAAGGCCAGGGGCTGCTGGGACTCCATCCAGACCATCATTTATTGTTGCCAGCCCGCGGCCCTCACCAGTGCGGAGGCAGCTCCCCGTTACCTGAGAGGGGCACCCTCGGGGTCCGACTCCACCTTTACCCATAAGCAGCCTCACAGCTGCCCTGCCTTTTCATGGTGGCACGGAAGACACGGGAGGCAGCCAGTGAGGGCAGGCCCTGCAGAGGCCAGAGGAGAGAACCCTGAGATCAGAAGCCCTGAGGAAGCACAAGGCCCGAGAAAATGGGGCCTAAGGCACAGAGATGGGGCCCCTGAGACACAGGGGTGGAGGCACAGGACGGCTCTGAGGCCCAGGTGGACACAGCAGGGGCAGCAGGCTGTGCTGAGATTAAGGTGCTGCGAGAAGACTTGGGGGAGGCTGCCCGGCAGGTAGGGGCTAGAGCCCATGACTAGGTGGGCAGCTGCCATGGAGCTGCTGAGCTCTGGGAGACCTGGCAGTGCCGCCGTGGGCACAGCTGCAGGCTCACTTCTTGCCTTTGAACGTGCCCAGGATCTTGGGCATGAACTTGCCCACCTTGCTGTCCCTGGCATCCTCCTCTGCCAAGCCCTCCCCAGCGCTGGGGCCGCCTGCCTCCTCCTTCTTGCAGAAGACCTCGAAGCGGCTATAAACACGCTTTTCCTTGCGCATGCTCTCCATGCGGCGCAGCAGGCGGTCGCGCTCCTCGGCGCTGGCGGGCAGCGTGCGGCTCAGCCGGCCTTGCGCCCCGAGGCTGTCTGAGCGGAAGATGGCCGAGCACTTGTCCTTGTCGGACATGTCTGGGGCCAGACCACCGGCAGCTGGTGGGCGGCCCAGCTCTGGGCTGCTGTGGGAAGGTCCAGGGCCTGGTGCCGGGACCCCACGGTGCTTCTGGCCATGGGCACTGATCTGCTCCAGGATGGCCTTTGTGTCGTCCCGAAGGTTGCTGCTGTACAGGGCGTTGGCCGTGGCTGAGGCCACGCGAGCCCGTGGACCCCGCTCCTCTCCTGCTGCAGCCTCGGTACTGTCACCCCGGCCCAAGGATGGCCGCCGAGGACTCTCGGGCCGCCCATTCTCCTGAGGCAGTGGGAAGGTGCCCTCATCCTCCGTGCGCCGCTCACCCTTGGGACTCAGCAGCTGCTTGAGGCGCAGGGAGCCCTTGCGCAGGACTTCCATGGGGCCGCCTGACGCCTCCTCTACCACTGGGGGCTTTGACTCCCCGGACGTCAAGGTGAGGCTGCCCCTGCGCTCAGGCACGGGGGGTACTGGGCTGCCCCTGCGCTCAGGCACTGGGGGCACTGGGCTGCCCCTGCGCTCGGGATAGGCAGAGGCGGGGCCCCCTTTCTGTTCCATCAGTCCTGCAGTGGGGCTGCCTCTTCTAGTGGGAAAACCAGGTGTAGGGCTCTCCTTCCGTTCTGGGTAGGCCGAAGTGGGGCTTTCTTTTGGCTCAGAGTGGGATATCTGGTGCGTCCCTGGCCTCTCTGGCGGAGGGCTGTCTTGCCCTTGTGGGGAGGTAGAACGGCCCTGGGAGGAGAGGAAGCGGGAGGGCAGGCGGTCAGCACCGCTGCGGCCCAGCGTGTCCAGCAGCTGCACAGCGGTGAGCGTGGCAGCCCCAGGCTGCCCCGCTCGCCCTCCGGGTGCAGCCGCTGTGCGAAGGAGTCCCGCAGGTCGAGCAGGCAGCTCTCCAGGCTTCGGCGCTCGCCCCCGGAGCTGCCTGGTGCCGCCTCTTCCCGCCACGCCTGGGATACGACAGCCTTGCTATGGCTGGAGGCAGTGACGTTTCCCCCTGCACCGCCAGGGTCTCGAGCTGGGCCCCTGTACTTCTCCAGGAGCTCAGCCACTTTGGCAGAGGCAGCAGAGCGCGTGGCCTCCCCGCTGGGACCCACCGTCTCGGTGACCGTCTGCTCCTTGTGTAGCAGCTGCAGCCTCTCGGTGCCTGCCACCACGGGCCCGCCGGCGCCCTCCGCCTGCGAAGCGCTGAAGATGAGCGAGGAGCGCAGGCGCGAGCTGCGCTGGATGAGCGGGTTCAGGCGCGAGCGGAAGGAGTCCTGCTTGGCCAAGCCTGCGTCCTCCGCACCCTCGCGCTCTGCACTGTCGCTGCCTGGGCCCGGCACCAGGCCCTTGGCTGAAAAGGCTGCAGGGATGCGGAAGGCCGAAGGGAGCAGGTCCCCAGCGGTTGGCCGGCCCCCGGGTGCCAGCACATCATCGTCGTAGGCTTCTGCCTCCATGGGCGCGGCCAGGCCCTCTTCGCTGTTACTGTCACCATGGCAGCCGCTCAGATAAGAGGCTAGGCGCCAGTGACGCAGCCCGGCTCGGCCCTCGGGTCCGCCCCTGCGCTCAGGCTCTGGCTCCGAGGCACTGTCTGGGCCCGGCCTTGCCGCCACCTGGCAGGCAAAGCGCTGGCCCACATTAGGGCGTGGACCCCCGTTGGGTTCCAGGCCGCGGGGGGCGGGCCCAAAGGCGGGGTCTGAGCCATGGCGCACCTCGCGGGATGCACTAGACGGCACGTACTCCAGCCGCAGGGGCCCGTCATGGCCAAGCTCAGGGAAGCGCGGCCCAGCGCCCAGCGCCAGGTCATCAGGGTCTGCAAAGCCCGGTCGGCCGGCACGAATCTTCTCGAACAGGCCCTGCGGCCGGGCGGGTGCCTGCTGCGGGTCCCACTGGTAATGCTGTTGGTAGAGCTGGTCACGCTGGAAGTGGCTGGTCTGGAAGCGGAAGTCATCGCCGTGGCTGAGGAATGTCTGTCGTGACACCTGCCGAGCGGCCGCGAAGTTCTCCACGGCGCCCGAGCCGTCGGCAGCGGCGTAGATGTGCCGCTTGAAGGCGCCCCCAGGTGCCGCGCCTGGAAGAAGCCCCGTGGGGCCGCGAGCTCCCCGCCCGGCCCAGCTTCAGCGTCCAGCCTCCGAGGAAGTGGCCGCAGCCCTGTGTGTGGCTCTGTGGCTCTAGGGCACCTCCCGGCACCCGCAGCGGCTCCTCCCGACGGAAGGGCGACAGGAAATGCCGGTCAGGGTCGAGGAAGGAGGGGAAGCCTAGGCCCTCTTCCCGGGGCGGTGAGAACAGAAACTGTGCCCGTTTAGGGAAGGAGAACGGGGTTGGCGCCCCGGGGACGCCCATAAGGGGCCCAGCGCCCGCATAGGGAGCCAGGGCATAAGTGTCCATGTGGGCCAGCGTCGCAGCGGAAGGCACCAACGGCTCGGACTGGGCGAAGAGGATGCGGAACTCCTCGTCGAAGCTGGAGACCAGCTCGCCCTGGAACACGTGCGCCAGGCTGCGGTGGATCTTCTCGAAGGACCACATGAAGCTGTAGGGGCCGGGGCCAGGGTCAGGGTCAGGGTCAGGGTCAAGGGGAGGGTGGGCCAGAGAGGGTGGGAGGGGAAGGCTCCTGGGGACATGGCCAGGCCTGTAAGGACCTGGGCCAGCGCACCTGTAGCTGCCGCTCATCACCACAGCACAGTCCACCAACAGGAACTTCTCCTTCACGTGGCCCTTGAAAGACTTTCCAGTGCGGCAGTAGTAGGTGGGCCCGGCCACCGTGCGCACGCGCAGGAACTGGGGAGGGAGGGGAGTCAGGTGCTGAGGACGGCCCCCTCCTGACCTCCCCACCTCCCGGCAACTCACATCCACGTGGTGCAGGTTGACGCGACACTTGTCGGCCATGTCCAGGAAGTGCTGGGCGTTGACCTCGTCCAATAGGATGTAGACTGGGACCCTGCGCGCGGCGGCCTCCAGCACCTCGCCAAGCAGGTCCACATCGGTGAACATGTCCATCACCACGGCAACCACCTGCCAAGACGTGTCAGGAAGCCAGACCCACTGCCCCAGCCCCTCCAGCCAGCACCATGGCACTAACGGGGCGGGGCCCGTGGGGGTGGTCAGGAAGGAGCAGCAGAGGGGTGAGGAGCTGTGGGGCCTGCAGAGCTGTCCTCAGCAGTGGGGGATAGGGTCTCCGGCATCTGGACCTGGTGCCCCAGTCTCCATGGTAACAGCCCCTAGCTGTTTGCCCAGGGCTTGAGTCCAGGCCAGCAGGGACTGCGGCCCCAGAGCGCCAAGCCCTGGACACTGGCTGTGACCAGAGGTGAGCTCACCTGGGCAGGGCCTGCGGCTTGTGACCACCCAGCCCTTGGTGACCTTGTAGAACTCTGCCAGGGAGCCTGCTCAGCTTAGCTCTGGGCTCACCCCTCCCAGGCTGGCCAGGTGCATCCCCCCCCAGTGCCAGGCCAACAAGGCACAGCTCAGGCCCTCCCCACTGCATGCTGGCGCACCTGCTGGGCTGAGCGGATCATCCTCCGGGCCTCGTCTTTGATACTGGGGCTGTCAGGTGGCGGTGGCTGCACCAGGGTGGTTACCTCAGTGCCCTGGAAGCCGAAGGTCAGGGGCCAGCCCAGGTCGAGCTCAGGTACAGCCTGGTCTGAGTTCAGCGGCCAGTAGGTGCCGGAGGAGCCGTCCATGTCCACATCAGGACTGCCCTCGGGGGGCTCTTGGGCAATGTGCTGAGGTGGCCGCAGGTGCCGGCTCACATGCTCCAGCTCCTCGGGGCACAGGAAGTCGGGGGCCCCCTCAGATGCCAGGAAGCGGCTGTAGGCCTCAGGCCCGCCTTCGGCCAGGGCGTCCACCGCCAGGCGATAGTATTCTTTGTAGTGAGGTGGCAGGTACCCGGGTGCCAGTGGGTTGTCCCCCTGCGAGGAGCTCTGGGAACGTCGGGCCATGTCGGGGCCAGGGGCCTAGAGGGCAGGGGGCACATCACTAGGGGTCAGGGCCCTGGGGCCCACCACTGCCCCACACGTGGGTACTCCTTGGGTGGGCCGGGGTTCAATGCAGGCCTGCCAGGGCCCTGGCCCCCGTGCAGTTGGGCTAAGGACGTCCCCATCTGGGGGCACCAGCAGAGTGCACAGTGCTCTAGCCTGCCTCCCCTCCTGGCCTTGCGGGCTGGGCCCTGGCCTCACCTGAGCCCAGGGCTGCCTCGCACCCTACCCCATCAGGGCTCCTTCACCCCATGGCCCCAGAACCTGCTGTGGGCTCCTCCACAAAGGCAGGTCTACCACAGCGTGGCACTCGGCTCAGAGCGGGCAGTGCCGGCCTCGACACGCCCTCATCACCCTGATGCCCACGGGCGACCGCGCCCGCTCGCTGCCTACTGGCTGCAGGGCTGTGGCCGCCACCTCTACGGTATGAGCGGCTGTGGCCTGGGAGGTGCCCGCCCGGCTGGGGGAGCACAGCACAGGGGTGAGGCTGCTTCCTTCCCACCCTTGGGGATCCAGGCTGACCGCCCAGCCCTCTGCACCCTGACTTGTCCCTGCCCACCAGGACCCCTTGGTATGTGCATGTGGTACCTAAGACAAGGTCTCCCTCCACAGCCTCCTCCTGCCCAGTAGCTGAGGTCACAGGTGCGTGGCCCACCGCTGACCCTGCCCTGCCACTATCCCTCCTGGGAAGCCTCTCCCACAGGGCGACAGGGCACTCCCTCCCAGACACCGGGTGTGGAGCAGCTTTCCGTGAGGCTGTCACCACCTGCTCCCCCTGCATGTGCCATGGTCAGGGCCCCTGCTGTGGGCCCAGCCTCCTCACTCGCTGCAGGGTGGGGGGTGTCTCCCCTGTCCCTGGCCACTACCCAGCCTGGCAGTGTGGGTGCTGTCCTGCGGGAGGGGGTACTCCTGTCCCCCACAGACTGCCCAGGCTGTGTGATGGGGCTGGCCCTGCGGAGAGCTTTTCAGCGGACAGGGCTGGCCAGGGTCCCGTGATCACTGTGCTGCCGCTCACAATGGAGCACTCGGCAGGCCTTCCCCCCACATGCGCGACCAAAGCGGTGGCAGGAGAGGTGCTGTCCCACCCGAGCCCGTGACTCAGCAGGACCGCCTCTGCTGCTGACCTATGACCTGAAGCCAGCTGGGTCTGCAGGGCTCTCCCCTGGACGCCAAGGCGCTCCTCACTCTGGAAGGAGGTGTGGCCCCTGAGTGTCTGGAAAGGGGACCCCATGGGAAGGCCCAGGGCTTCCACACCAAGCCTCCCCTTCCCCAGTTCAGCGTGGGCCTAAGGAGTTGGCGCGCCCAGGAAGTTAGCCTGTGTCTGGACGCGGTGTCCCAGCGGCCCAGCTCACCTAGGGATGAGGCCCTGGCCGGGGTCGCCGCGCCCTGACCACCCTCATCCTGGCGGCCTGGGCAGGCGTTTCAGAATAGGGTCCAGCGGGCCCAGCACCTTCCCCAGGCTCCAGTAGGCCGCGGGCGCGAGTCGAGAAGGCCGGGCTGGCCCTACCCGGATCGCGGGCCGCAGCCCCAGACCCCTTTCCGCTCAGCTCTCCCTGGCCCGCGTCGGGCGAGATCCGCGCGGCGGCGCTCCCTACCCAGCAGCCCGGGGCGGCTGACCCCGCCTCGCAGGCGCCGTTCGGTCCCGGCGCGCGGCCCACTCCCA